CTGTTATACTTGAATTCCATACACAACTCTGTGATCAAGTTTTATTGCCATGAATTCTTGTCAAAGGAGAATTTAAAAATCATATGCTTCATACTCTTGAAAAGTATTAAATTTAATTAATTATGGGAATCACATATATTCTGCTCAGGAAACAGAACATCATAAGATTTCCTATGTGATCAAATGCCATTAAATAACTTATGTCAAATTTCCATGATAAATAAAACAATTTGGTACCTTTAATTCCAAATATTGTGTAAATATGAAAACATATCATACTTCTCACAAACAAATGCGAAGACAATTAAACCAATCACTTTAGATAACACTTTCCAGTTTATGAAAGCATATGCTCAAAGACACATATTTCTTATCTCTTAACTCCCTTTGCTACTGGATGAATACCATCATCCCTTGAGTAATGTGGTCCTTATATGTCCCTCTCTTTAGGCATACCATAGATGAATGCTTGACTCTAGTACATTAGAAAGATACAATATGAGAGAAATTTTAGAAACTAACCCCGATCAGCAAGGCTTGTTCCTTTTACCACTCTGTTAAATAGCTTGTTGTCCTTCTGGAGCAACCTTGCTAGGCAGGTGATTCTAAATATTTCTGGAGAATCAAAACCCACCATATTTTGCTTTTATTTAAGACCAAAATCTTCATCAGGTAATAAAGGCATTTATTTGCACTTTGTCCCCTTTATATTTGCTCCAGGCTGTCACATCATCTCCCTCGACCTGCTGGCCATATCTCTTTTGATGCAACCCAGGATTCCGCTGACTTTCTGGGCTGCAAGTACACATGGACTGCTCACATCCAATATTTTGCCCACCAGAACCCCTAAGTCCTTCTCCACAGGGCTGCTCTCACTGTGTTTGTATCCTGGTTTGGAATCACATTTGGAATTGTCCTGACCCAGCACCTTCCACTTGGGACTTCTTGAACCATATCAAGTTCATATGGGCCCACTTTTCAAGCCCACATAAATGACACAATCAACAGGAACTAGATTATACTAGATATGAAGAAAATCTAATTTTTAAAGGTACAGTTGATCAAATGTCAGCAATCTTAAGCGAAACCAGCAATCATGTCCTTGTCTTTTTTTCTCTTAAATCTGAGTTTCCTGAGGATGCATGGCAACAGTAATCATTTTAATTCAATAGTTTCCAGTAACTTTTAACCCTTGTCTAATGTCAGGCTAATCTAGCGAAAGGGCAGAGACCTTAAACACATTATGATTCTACAAGCCTCTTAGCAATTACTGGGTAAATAGAAGAGAAAGATCTGATAAAAGAAAATCAGAGAAAATTCCACTTTACATGTCTCATTTGGCTGCAGTCAAGTGGTAAAATGGCAGACAGATAGCTCTGGACTGGTCACCACAGTAGAACAGGACAGTCCACAGTGCATGGCAGTGGGGAGTGAGAGGATGCTGACAGTTACGTATGGGACTCGTAGGAACTGGATGCACTACATGGAATGCGGGATACAGAAAGAACCATATTGGGCTATAAATTTCAAAATAAAATTAATAGCAGATACAATTGTACTAAATTAGCTAATGAGTTACATTAACAAGACTGGATAATAGACACCTTACTAGCACTGAACAGAGTTAATGTCTGCTTCTGGGATGTGAGCTTACTTTTTCAGAACTAACCTCATAAAACATTCCTATTAAAAATGGCTGTGTACTTTTCATTGTATGAAAAGTGAAGCTAAATTAATTAAGCATGCATATAATTTCACATGCTTACGTATTGCCATGAAACAACCAAGCCTCAACAATAAAGTTTTATAAAAATGTTTTAAGCCATGACTTGCATTTTATTTCTGTTTTATCCTAAAAAAACTGAACCAGATGTATCAAAATCTACACATCAGACTCTAGACACAATAACTACAGATCTCCTACACCCTGTCCAGAATACAATCATTAGCACTTGAAGTACAAAACATCAATGGAAGCATCTGCCTAGTGTGATAATCTTGATGAAATCAGAATCCATTCATAGTAAACAAAGTAAAACACACAGAACTTACTCATATTTAGCAGGACCAGAGAGAATTAATGAAAGAAAAGTATACACAACATTCTGATGTAACTCAAGGCTGATTACAGTGTCATCAGTAGATGGAATATTTTCTATCAAATTACTGAAATAAATTAATGACTATGAAATTAGGGCCCTCAGTCATCAAGAACATCGATCCATCAGTGGTAAAACCAACAAGAACTGGGAGATGCAGTTCCCTCAAAAATCTTCCCAAGCAGAGCATTGTCTCTCAGCTTACATTGAATAGATAGATTATTTATAATTTGCCTTTCTAAAGAAAGCAAACTTGTAGTGATGAAGAAAAAGAAGCCACTACTACACAAGATAAACTAAAGTAATTGATAAGCAAAATGCATCTGAAGTTTCAGGTGATTCCCCTGCTGAATTCACAACCCCTTGACTACTTCTGAGACATACAACTGTGTTTTGCAAGCAGAAGTTTTCGCCTATGTTTCCTATTCCAGAAATTATTATTACCAACTATTTCAGAACTGCAGCTGACTGATAAAATTATGCAGCCATGTTTCATATTTTTCAAAACTGTAGGTCTTCTGTTAGAAATTTCTTTGAAAGAAAGTCAGCTATATTTAGAGCGAGTACAGAGAAGAACACAGTAAATTCATTTAAGCAGAAATGTTTGCAACCTTTATTTCTAAGTTTTAAAGAGGATTTTAAAGTGTTTCCTTAAGGGGGAAAAAACCTGCATATCTTACTCCATATGAATGTCTAATGAACACTGACCTACCAAAGCCAGAAAAGCACCACTTTTTACATATATACAATAAAGTATATTGCTAAATAAAACAAGTAATAAAAGTATCCATCAAATGTGCTTCCCAGCATGTTCTCAAGTAAAGTACTCATACAGTTAGAATCAGATTCAAAACTCACAAGTATGGTAACGGAGAAAAAGAAACTAACCAAAAGAAAGTCTGTGGTTTAGCTGAGGCTCAGCCTGTCCCAAGGTTATACACTCGATATATGCAGTTTTGGTTAGCACTTCCCTTGAATTCAATTCTGAGTCTGACAAGCCTCAGTAAGTCTCATTTAGCATTCCGTCTAATAAGGAAATTGAAGAGAAATTTAACTGAAAATCATGGCACACAAAGAAGAGAAAAAAATAAACAATGAAATTATTTCTATTAGTGCAAGACTCATGTAGTATTGCAAAATTTCATGATACTAAACTGGCCTATTTTAGATCAGCTATATTTTTGCTCTCTATTACTAACATAGATACTGCTCTTTTGCAAAGGGTTTAAAATATAGTTCTTGAAAAGGACTAAAGAAGCAATGTCAATCATAACAGTGGTATAGGTGTCCTCTGTAAGGAAAGATAAAGCAAATCTTTGTACTCCACAAGACTTATGCTAAGATTAATATCTTATATTAAAAATAATAATAAATACTAAACCACATTTTTATTTTGCCTTGTTAAATAATTATGTGAAATGATGTTTTGAAGTTTTTAATGTTATTAGAATCCCTTAAAAGGTGTAAACTATAACATGAATATTTTTTATTTCTTTGATTTCTGAGAAAATATTAATACAGATAATGAAATATATGTCCGAATGCACATTTTTGCCTGCCAGTCAGTTTAATATTCAAACCGTTCCATTCAAAACAAAAGATGCCAATTCCTGAAACCTGGTATGCATCCACTCTTGCACCTATTGAGTTTTCAGGAAACTTAGGGTTTTTTTCTATTTAGCTCTTTCAGATGGTACAGTTGTTCAAAGACAGGCCTTACCTTTTGCCTTTCCAATAGTTACAAAGTATTAAATAGAAAGGTGGATGCAATGAAAATTCTGTGGAACTTGAATATATTTTACATAAGGCTGTGTTTCAAAGGCTTTATGTTTTCATGTCAGAAAAATCATTCATTTCTACAACACTTTTAATAAGCCTATTTACTGTTTGGGCAGATTTTATGTAATGTGCATTGTCAGGGAGATTTGTTTTTCCCTGGAGCTTTGTGATCTCTACTATTGTTTATAAATCTTCTAATTCAAGCAGCTGAATGCATTTTCTGGTGGATGTACCTATAGCTACCAGTCTGTTGTGTTCTACAACAGTTCACACAATGTCTGAGACCAGATTACAATATTTTTATTGGCCTTGAGCCAATCTGCAAAGGAAAGCAGGTTTAGCTACGCATTTACTCTCCAGAAGATTTATGAATAAATTGTCAATTGAATTCAGAATTCCTACAAGACCTCAGCTACTGTGTCAAACTGACATGCAGCTAATGAGTTGGATAGACATTAACTTCCTATTAGTGGTCATATTAAGATATCCTAAGAGTATTCTAGCATAAACTCTTCATGTATGCATGCGATAACATTGTTTAACATCAACATCGAGAATTGATTTAACTAGGATAAAGACAGACTTCACTATAGCTCAACAACAGTGAGAAATGGCTTAGATTTTGACCATTTGTAATGTCTGAATTAATTTTAAAAGTTTACTTGGGTATAGAGAAAGAAACAGAAGAAAAAAAATTGATAAATGTGTATGGAAGCAGCCAAAGGCATGCAGGATTAAATCTTTTAATGAATTACCTTTTGTTGCTATCTACCATAGGAACAGCATAATTCATGCTTAGGATCAAAATCACACATATATTAAAATATACATTCAACAAGGACTGGAGTATAACCCACATATGACAAGAGTATTCCTTTGTCACCCATCTTACTCTAATTCAGGGGTTAACTGAAAGAAATCTTCACTGTTTTCAATATTCTAGTTATGCCATCTCTGTGTTTCATCTGAAAGCACTGAAAAATTTAAAAATATTGGTGAATCCAAACACTTCCCAAACTGCCTTCTCCCCAAGATTTTAGCTTCTACTTGAATTTCAGTAATAGCTTCTTACTTCACTGAAAATCAACATGATTTTCAAATATATGTTGAAATTGTACATACTCTGAGGAAACCTGGGTGGATTGTCGTTGACATCAGTGAGTGTGATATTTACAGTTGTTGACCCTGACAGCCCTCCGACCTGCCCAGCCATATCTTTGGCTTGAATGACAACGGAATAATGCTCTCTGGCTTCCCTGTCCATGTTGTGCAAGGCAGTCCTGATGACTCCTGTGATGGAAAGAAAAAACAAACAAACAAACAAAAGATCAGGATTAGCTTGTTTGAGCAAGAGCAAAGGCTGGGCATAACCTTTCTTTTAAGGAAAGGTATAGCTGTGCACATAAACAACAAAACATAAACAACTAAAGACTTAGTTGTAGGAAAGGTGGAGCTGTGCACATAAACAACTAAACATAAACAACTAAAGACTTAGTTGTTTATGTCATATATATAAAAAATACAATGTCAGACGCTGATAGACAATCAGCTTGCTTGAGGATTTGAAAAAATCAAAATCATATCTATTACATCAGTTATTGTATTTGTAAGTAATTAATCCAACTTATATAACATATAGCCCAGAGGTAGGAGCTGTGCACATAAACAACTAAACATAAACAACTAAAGACTTAGTTGTTTATGTCATATATATAAAAAATACAATGTCAGACGCTGATAGACAATCAGCTTGCTTGAGGATTTGAAAAAATCAAAATCATATCTATTACATCAGTTATTGTATTTGTAAGTAATTAATCCAACTTATATAACATATAGCCCAGAGGTACATTGCCAAAATACCAGTGTCTTCTCATATATTAGAACTCTTTAAATAGCTACCTAATAGAAATACTAATGAATGGGAACTCTTACCCCACTGGATAAGACACAAATTGCTTTATAATTTCTTGATTAATACAACATACCTCTTAAAACTACTGAAAAAGCTAAATTTTGTTATTTGACAAATCTCAAAAAAAAAAGACATACTTTCATATTTGATATGTCAATAGTATAGATTTATGTTCATAAGTGTGACTTACCTAATAATTCTATGCAAACTGAAAGCTATTTTTGTTTTACTACAGTACAGACAGAAAACCAAAATTGAATGATCCTAAAATTCTATTAATTTTTATCCATCACCATCAGAAATATTTTTTTTCATTTAGTTAATTACACATGCAGAAGCAAATACTACAACAAAAGCAGCCAACTCCGTGGGCTCAGATTCAGTTGTGGGACATTTTTCACATATGATGATGCCTGTAACTTAGGCATAGATGATTTCTTTGACCACAGGCAGACAGAAACCTCATGGAATTCAATAAAGGGAAATGTCAAGTCCTGTGCTGGGGATCCAGTATATGCTGCAGACAGACTACCTGTGAAGGAGCTATTCAGAATCTGGGGTGGTCCTCAATTTGGTCATGAGCCTGCAATGTGTCTTTGTAGCAAACCAGGCCAACAGCTTCCTGGGCTGCGTTATGAAAAACATTATCAGCAGGTCAAGGGAGAGGATCCTTCTCCTCTGCTCACCATTAATGAGGCCAAATCTGGAGTACTGAGTCCAGTTCTGAACACACCAGTATATAAAAGACATTGATAGACTGGATTGAGTTCAATAGAAATGAATAAAAAATATGCAAAATGCCCAATTTATTAACATTACATTTTCAAAGAACTAAAATTTTAGCTTAACTTGTTTTGGACTCTTAAAGTGAGTGTTTGCTCACCAGCAAGAAAACATACCATAGAATTATCAGATGTTGCTTCGGGGTAAATTTTAAACATATAACAGCTATTAAGACAAATCAACTTAAGAAGCAGAGCACTGCTCTTATACACAACTTTCAGTATAGCATGATTCTCAAGCTTTTTGATTTCCAGTTTCAGATTACATGAAAAGTGGTTTCCAGGACTCTACTTTTTTTGCACTTTAAAATTACTTTATTTGCAATTTTTCAGTAAAAATATTTAGCCATCATTGCACACAAAATGGAAATTTTCACGCAGCTTATACCATTGCTTCCATTCTACTCTGAAAACAAATCACACATCAATAACTAGATCTATCTACAAAGAATAATATTTTAAAGGATGCATAAAGTTTCAGCATTATTTTAACATAGCTTTGTGCTGTAAGTCAGTTCCTTTCCATCAGAAGTGTAGATTCTGGACAAACTGGCTAAAAATAGTATACCAGTCTGTTTACTTCATCAGTGCTTTTTTTCTTAAAATTACACAGTTTGAAACAGACCTTTTTTCAGAAATTAACCACAATTTATACATAACATAACAGAAATTTGCAGCAATTTGGATAAAAGGAACTGATACCACTTAAATATAGTATCATTTGAAACAAATATGGTTTACAAAATCTATTCTAAATCTAAACATTCTAAAAAGTTCATTTTATTGAAAAATAAGAGTATAGGAAATTTGTAAAATTAAGAATTCCCTGGTTTGACATTTTCCACATGTTGCTTCAGTTTTAAACACTGAAACCAATGTTTATGCGTGTGCATGAAAGGAGTGTGGAATTTTTAAAAAGAACCTTCCATTTCAATTTGAAACCAATGTTTATGCATGTGCATGAAAGGAGTGTGGGATTTTTAAAAAGAACCTTCCATTTCAATTTGAAATGGACTAAATTTTACAGAGTAAAATATCTGTGTTCTGTACTATCCTTATAAATACACTAGTCACTTGCATTTTGAAACTAAACAGAAATTCCTCTTAATTATGATTACTTTTCTTTTTTGCTTTAAGGGGTATGATACTGAATCAATGCTTGTAGATGGTTAATAAGGATTTGTGGATGACTAATCATTTGATCTCTTGCATCAGACTCCTCTTTTCTGAAAACTGAGTAAATGAAAATGGGCAAGCTTTTGATTTCAAAAGCTTGTATCTAAGGTTTTGAATAAGAAAACTGGTGTTAAGCTTTTGATGTGCTGAAGGCAGGAGATAAGGGAAAAATTAGTTCTCTCTCTTTTCTTGGTTGCGTATGCATTTATACATCCTAAACTAGTATGATCAGCATGAGGTACGTAACTACCATGAGGATCCTAATGCTCTATTCTTGTCACTAGCAGCTCCACCACTGCCACTGATCTGGCAGTATAGTACTATAATCATACAAATTTCAAGTTTCTCTAATGATCCCAAAATGTGTAAGAAGAATTTTCTTAGTTGTCTTTTCCAATTAGATAATATTAAACGCTTCAGCCGTTTCTTTTATAGTAGGAATTGCCCCTGAGTATCTTCTGTGTACTTGGCAGCGGCTCCTATACAACCCACAAGAAGACAGGGAGTTCATCTGAAGAAAGATATTTCCCTGACTAAAACAGTGAGAAAAAAACAGAAAAAGAAAACTGTCAAAGGCTTTTTAAATTTAAACACAGCCCTAATTTTGCCTCGTATTTGTTAGGCAGCACTGCGACCCTGTTAACAGAGTACTTGTCATCTATGTCTCCAATATTTATTCATCTTTACTGGGAAAGGAAAGGAAGAAAATAAAAAAGCAAGCTGTAGACATCATTACAGGTACACCCCATCCTGCTTCTGGTATTAAGAATTTTTCAGGAAGTTTGACTGTTCTGTTAGAAATCACACACAACATAAGGAAGGTTGGAATGGAGTGTTGCCCACATGACCAGTTATACCTATTTCCATCTTAAAATTATGAGATGGTTTTTCTCACATGGAAGACTCTCCCAGAACACACTTTTTCTTCTAACTCCTTTACTAAATTTATTCACCTCAAAACTTACACCAGTTTGGGTAGGGTTTTTATTATTTCATTTTTTTCCATGTCAATTTCTACAGTTTTGGAAAGTAAATTTTCCAATTTGAATTTATCCTTCTTGAACACATATAGCAAGAAACTTACATACTTTCCAGATAGGATTTTAACATAACCTTTGCTAATGACAACATTTCAAGTTTTTTATATAGAGTACATGACATTGCTGATTCATCAGTAATTGGCTAATATTTTCTTGCAATGATATTTCCAAATTATTGAGACCAAATTTAGTATAGAATAATAGAATATGTTAGGATGATAGGACCAATAAGGATCAAGTCCTACTCTCTGTTCCTCTCTACTAACTAAAACTAAACAACATGTTATAATTAGTTTTACTACATAATACTATTAAATTTAATTATGCTCTTGCCCCAAAAGGCATAAGCTTCCTCCTCTCTACTGATAGTTCTTCACAACTTTTTGCAGTCAAGAAATTTCTTCGTGGTGGTCGTGCACTTACCCTCAAAACATCAGGCAAAACTGAGAGAGAACACTGAGATGAAAAACTGATATGCCTACTACTGTGGATAGCTGCTTTTCTTTCCTTTTACACAAAAACTCTGAATTTGAGAAAGCCCTGAAAAGACTGGCAAGTTTCACTTCCTTCTCCACTCAGGATCTCTGAATTCATTCCTGATACTTAATTGCAGTCAGTATCTTTTATTTTTTTCTTCAAGATACTTCTATGCTCTGCAGCATCTGACAATGTGTTATGTTGTCTTTTTTAGCTTAGCATTCTGTGAAGAACCATTTCACTTGCATGTAAGAAAAGATACAACAGAAGGCTTCACTGTAACTGAGACAGTAAAACACAAGACTTTTTTATTCATGTGCTTACAAATATTAAGAAAATGCCTTCCACAGACAACTAAGTGCCTAACTATGCAGTTACCAAAGTATTTAACTATGCACCTACCAATCAGTCTGGTATACCTGAAATAATTTATCTTATTACTTACACAAAATAATAACTCATTTTAGATATAGTAACCACTGCAGAATTTTAGTCAGCTTAATTTTACAGACTACTCCTGCATGATGTGCAAATGGAACTGTCCCAGAACAACATAAAAGGTCCATTTTAGTGTTTTGAGCTCAAAGGTTTTCTGTCTAGGGTGGAAACCAAAACTGAAACAAATGCACAACTGCACTTTAATGATTGTCGTGGTTTAACCCCAGCCAGAAGCCAAGAATCACGCAGCCAATCACTCACTCCCCCACCCCTTGGATGGGGGCAGAAGGGTAAAAGCTACAAAAACTCATGGGTTGAGATAAAGACAGTTTAATAGAGAAAGCAAAAGCTGCACACACAAGCAAAGCAAAACAAGGAATTAAATCCTTCCTGAAGACAGGAGGTGTTTAGCCATCTCCAGGAGAGCAGGGCCCATCACGCGTAACGATTCCTTGGGAAGACAAACACCATCACTCCAGATGTCTCCCCTTCCTCCTTCTTCCTCCCACCTTATATACTGAGCATGATGTCATATGGTATGGAATATCCCTTTGGTCAGTTTGGGTCACCTGTCCCAGCTGTGTCTCCTCCCAGTCTCCCATGCATCCCCAAATTCCTTGCCAGCGTGGCAGTATGGAAAGCAGCAAAGGCCTTGACTCTGTGTAAGCTCTGCTCAGCAATAACAAAAACATCTCTGCATTATCAACTCTGTGTTCTGCACAAAACCCAAACATAGCCCCATACTAGCCTCTGTGAAGAAAGCTAACTCTACTTCAGCTCAAACCAGCACAATGATGAACTTGTTTGTCATGCGTAAGTAAGTATTTTTTGGTTTGGAAAATCTCCATTCTGTTGTTGGACCATGAGCCTGGTCATCAGAGATATGATGAAGGGTCATACTAGATCCCCCATGTTCTAGTTTCTTGTATTCCTGTCTTGTCATGATCACCACCAATAATCATTCAAATATAATTTTAAGAATCTATCTAATAACTGATTAAATGTGTGAGTTTACAGTTTACTGAGGGATGAGAACTGTCGCAGATGGTAATTTCATTAATATTATTTTACTTTGTTAATGGAAGTACCATTTTTATCACTGCTTTGCTTTAGGATATGTATTTAGTTTATTTTAATGTAACTTAATATTCTGAATGTATTGCATATATTAAATACTTTTAAAAGATAATATTATTCTACCTTGAAAGAGAAGGATATACAATTTTTTGCACTTTAAGGCAGATACTGGGCAAGTCAGTAGATACATTTCTTTTTTCTTAAGACTTCAAAATAAACTTCAAATTTAGAACTCCCAATAGGCTTTGATTTGGATTTGTGATTTAGTTCAAACTATAACTGTAAACAGAAATTTGAAGTACAAAGCTTATGGTCATACTCCGCATTCTCAATACTTCTATAACAAAGATATTTTTAATCTAGGCCTTTGAGCCAGATCTGCTTTATATAACTAATATCATAGATTTTGTTCCTTTACAGGTATGTCACTAGATACTTTATGGCTGAAAGTCAAAGCACTATAGAAATGACAATTAGTGGTCAATTTTCTTCTCTTGTCATGATAATAGTACTGAAAGACAGTATGCCCTTTCTTAAGGAAAATTATCATTTAAATGAAATTGATGAATCCAACATTTAAAGACAACTGCCACAAAAAATATAAATTACTTGGAAAATAAGCATATTTTAAAAGGAAAATAGTAAGAGTTTTTAAAGAAGTAGGCTAGAAGAGTGTTCATTTGGCAGACTGTACTACAATGAATCCCCCCAAGAGAAAATAAAATCTATTAAAATTGCTAATAGTAAATAAAGCCTTCTCTACAATCTCTATGAATAATAGACTGAAATTACAAAATGAAAAAAGGTCTTATGCTGAAGCCTCCTAAATTAAAGAATCTGAATAACACTTCACTAACTGACTGGAAAATACACCAATTTATGTGGCAATTGTGTGGATGCCAAATATAAACACAGCACCTTTCCCTGTTTTCATAAAGCAAACTTATCAAATGAATTAAATTAAGAATTTGTTGCCATGTCACCTCCCAGAAAGCACACAAAAAATCTAATTTGCCATTGCAATTGCTGAAATCAAAGAAATATCCACTAAAAATGCCTTTGCAGGCAGCCACTTTATTCTAGCAGGAAGCTTTTTTTATCTTGCCAATGGTTAAAGCGCATGTCTATGTATGTCAGCTTTGCCACCTCTGTTTCAGTTAGTATGGTTCACAGGTTTTTTAATTACATTTCCCTCAGCCTCAGGTGGCTGATTTAACAATGAGGACATTATCATCAGGGTTGTTTTTCTACTGGAATGCTGTACTCGTCCCATTGTCTTCAGCTTGCTACTACTTCCAAATCACTGTGCTATGAAAGACATATTTTCTGGGTTTAGTGGTAGTGGATTTCTGGCTTATTCTACTCTGAGTGTTGTCATTCCTGTAAACATCAGCTTTTAACTTTGGCCTAGACATCTGCACCGAACTGTTCAGGTAATTTAGCATTTTAAAAGAAACAAGGATTTTTTTATTATTTTTTTTTAGATCTCATTAGCTAATCACAATCCAAACTCTCTTAATAAACTTATGTCTGGTGTAGCTCTATATGGCTGTAAAGATACAGGTGACTTTTCACTTGTTCTATTGAGCTATACAGATATTGTTCTACTGTCTGAGGACCTCTGTGCAGGTTGCATCATAAACCTGAGTTTACATGCACAATTTCAGTTGTGTCTGGCAGGCTGTACAGCTGCAACTTGAAGTAATGTGTATAAATACATTTTTTCTGTGTTTACAAGTACCACAGTAACAAAAAGAGCCAGCAGAAATGGAACAGAATGAGGTGCTGCTGCTATAGTGATAATAAAGTAAAATACAGAATCATTAGCTTAAGCTGGATCCAGTAAGACACACAGAATTGATTTTTCAAATATTTTCTAGCCAAATTTTCTTTCCTATTTAACAAAACCAGTTGGTTTTTTTTCCCACAAAGACATTACTATAAAACACTATAAATCACCTGGCTTAACACCTAATTAGGTACAATGTTTGTAATAATTCAAATATTTAAAATTTAGGATCTTTTAAGCAACAATCCACACCTTGGAAAGGAATCTATGTACAGCTTGGAATTTTAGTATAATTTATGCAATCTGATGCATCCACAGTCAAAGTAAATTCCTTCAAAATGCTAAGATATTCAAGCTTAATGGCTAATCCTTCATCTAACTGGTTTACTCTTAATAGCTAAATGGACCACCAGAACTGTAAAACTCATGCCATTAACTGAACTAGCACTGTACTGAACCTATCCATTTGACTTTGGCTAAAGCCCTCCTGAAAGCATGTAATTTTGAACTGAAGTGATCAAGAGGTAAAAAATATCACATATTTCCTTTACTGAATATTCTAGTCATTCATCATAAAGTCAAAGGCCTTTATTTGGGGGTGTGCACTTTCAATTTCAAACCATTGACTCCTGTTGCCCTCTTTCAGACCGTTAATTCATAGTATTTCTCCTTGTAAAGGTACCACTATATTGTCACAAAGCTAACCTTTCTGATAAACCAGAGTAAAGAACTTTCACTCAAAAACCTTTTCTCCCACTCTCTCTTCAGCTTTCAAAAATTTTGTAAAAATACAGACAAAAACATTAATATTCATATTTCAGTAATGTTACCCTCTTCCCATCAACACCAATTTCAGATGCAAATTTAGCTCCCCTAATATTTTTATAATATATAAAAAGTCTACTTAAGGGGTTTATGGGGGGGGGTTGGCTGTTTTTGTTGTTGTTGTGGGCTTTTTGTTTATTACTGCTTCACAAAATTGTTTTGAGCTGCTTTATTCTTTGTTTACATAGTTACGATTCTCCTAGATACAGTCCCACCCTCCTCATATATAATTGTAGGACTTTGCATTTATTACATTGAGTGCCACCACTTATCAAACAATCTGGGCTATTTTGTCAGAATAGACTGTTCTCATCTTTAATCATCCTTCTGCTATTATTTGTGTCATCCCAAAATTTTATAAATGGTACTCTTACACACACTTTTAACCCACACAGAAAGAATTTGAATAAAGGTGGTCTGATCCCTGCAGAGCCCTGGCGGAACCTCTTCCTTTCACGACAATTCTGTCTTGATAACTTTTTCTATCTCCCAGGTAGCCAGTTCATAGCCATTTAATATGTGTTTTGCTGCTCCTACATAGAACTAGCTATTTAACTAGAATGGCATGCAACATGGCAATTATCATTTCATAAAACAAAGAAATCAGGTTTGTTTCCCATGACACATGGAAAGGCATTACTGCTATTTCTATTTTATTTTAATTGGCTAAATTATTTCTCAGCTCCTCTTCTTTATTTTTTACTCTTTGGCTCAATTTGTCAGCTTCATGTTAAAGATGCTTGGCCTTTCAGGAAACTGACACATTTACATTCTCAAATTTCCTTATCTACTTCTTCATGTATGGAGAATCTACTACTGCTTCTCCTAGTTTTGGGCCTGGACAACAATTATAGTTTCCTATTAATCTAATTCTGTTTTATAGAAGAGTCTACATTTCAGGGTGAAAAAAGGAGGAAATTCTGCCCTTCTTTTTTATATGCAGATTCTGAAAAGAGTTCAATAATGGGTTAGTTCCTCAGAAATTGTTTAGCAATATGTTATGTCCTGAAAATATACAAGTAGTTTCTTTTGAAGTACAAATTGCACATAAGTTCTTATGACACTTCAGACAGAAAAATATAGTTAAACATTCTTTCCAGTAAATCCCCTACCTGAGTGGTTTTGACCTCTCCTAAAATCGCTTCTCCATTATTGAAAGTTTTAATTTTTTCCACACAAAACTGCTGGAGATGTGGTATGGAGGAGCAGAAGCGAGCATTAAAGACTTTTAAAAAATATATATAAAGACTTATCAAGGCTTATAAAAATATTCTTTTGTCTATATACTATATGCCATATATATATATGCCACTATATACTAGCTCTATGCATTATTGTGCACGATGAAACAATTCAATTTTAACAGAAGGCACTTCAGCGGTTTTGCACCAGAAAATCTGAATCTGAATTAGTGGCATATCCATAGTTCTGAAGAAACATGTGGTTAGGAGCAAACAAGGCTCAATGGTCAGATTCTGTAGTTTGAACAACACAGTGCTCAAACTCTGATGTGTTCCTAGCAAAGACAAAGCAGCATGAGGCAAGCCTGCAGAAGTATGATGCAGCTGCTGTGTTGAAAATGTGTAGGGTTTTGGGTTTTTTGACAATTCCCTTAAAAGTGTATTTAAAAAGCAAAGAAGAATCTTTGCCCTAATGGAGGGGGTAGAAGAACTGTTCGCTCAAAGATGGTAACAAGTGACTGCTAGCTGTATAGTGAAATAAAGCAAGATAGCTATGAAACATAAGCAGATCCAAATATACATGACTAACACATATCTTAATGTCATTTAGATATTGAGGACTTCTCCATAACAGATTACATCTCAGGTAGGCAAGCAGAGGAACCAAGCAAATTATGTCAGTGTGAAGGCAAGGGCAAAGAATGCTGGAAAAGATGAAATTACTGATTAAGTGCAATTTCTTCATATATAAACTTCTTATAAGTGTATTTAATCCTCAGTGAGAAGGAACAACCTCATGACACGTGATGAACAAAACAATTAAGTAAAAAGGGGATACATTCAGTAACCTCTGAACATAGCAGATGGGAATTAAGTACATGAATCTTCTCAAAGGAAATCCCATGTGATTTGAGAGAGCTTAAAACTATCTGAAAACTAACTACTTATATTCGCAAGCTTGGAAATACCACTCTCTTAAAATAGAATGGACTGTCAGTATTAAACATTTCTTCTTGTAATGTCACATATCTTCCAGCCTACATAGAAATGTATTTATTCTATAGCTTGAATGAAAATGACAAAATAAGAGATAGCTGAAGGTTAAAGCTGCTACTATTTCACTCATAATCCAAAACTCACTACTACTTTCTTTGTAATGACTGAAAAACAAAGTTGGAGCCACAGACTTCGTATTTCTCATCCACTATTATTAAATTAACCTTCTATGCAAATTAAACTTTTTGTCTTTAAAAAGGTCATAATAACATATCTAAACAAGTGGAGATAATTAACATACTTTCCTATTATGTTGAATAGTATTTTAGTTTCCTTTCAAAGTAGATCACCTTGATAAGAGGTCAAGAAAAGAGATGATGACTTCAGACATAAACCCCACTTTTCAAATAGATTCAAAATGGTGCCTGGCTAATTATAAAACAGAATGCAACATAAAGTCTTGCAATGATTCCACATTTGGACAAAATTTCATGTGCTGGCTAATTCAATTGACCGACAAGGTCAAGACATGTAA